CAGCTCCTGCCCCGCTCCTCTCTGAGCCCGGCAAACCGGGAATAACCAACCAGCCAGCGTGCGCTGAGGCTGTGTGTAAGTGGCAAAGGCACCGATGGCCGTAGCTCTCCGCTCCTCTTCAGCATTCAGTGCCAAGTTGTGCGAAAACATTTGGCTTTTTTCTCTCGGCAGTGCTACCCAGAAATGCGTAGCTTCTGCTGAAGACTCTCCTTTCCAGCACGCACGGCAGTGCAGAGAGAGAAGCAAAGCTCTCCCGGTTGTTTTAGGGCTCCCTGAGGAAATGTGTCTGCAGGGAGTTTGGCGCAGGGAAGCTGGGACCTGTCAGGCTGCGTGGGCGTCTTCAGGCAAGGCAAACCCGGGTTTGGTACCAGCCATGTCCACCGTGATGTTCAGCATCCCGGGAGTCCCATAGGATGTCCTGCAGAAAAATAGTTTCTTAAACGGGGAATTCTCAAGGTTTCAAGGGTTGGTTGGTTGGTTTGTTTGTTTGTTTTAAAAATTGCTGCCTACACTCCTTATATGTCTCAACTCCCCCCATCTCTATGACTCTCAAGAAGAAATTTTCTGAAATGTAAATATATCCAAATTCTATGAAACACAGATGTTAGTTTTGCTGTCTTGATTTCAAAAAAAAATGCAGTTTTCTGGGAACTGCCATCACTATGCTTTTTTAATATTTAAAAATACAGATCTATGAACTATGAAAACATTACGTAAGAGTGTTTCTGTAATTCAGACGTAATATGCAAGACATAAAATTATCCGGATCCTTCGGGACATAAACCACTTCTATTTTCACAGTAGTCAAAGGGATTGTGTTTTGTGTCTTTCTTTGGCTTGTATTTGAAGCCCACCAAATAATTGTTGGTTTTTTTTTTTAGTTCTTCATCAGATTATTTTTCATGTTTCTTGTGAAGCACAGGAGTCCATGGCTCTTCATAATATTTTGCTAATAAAAGGGGTTTACAGATGAGGTTACAGGCCTGTTAAGATCTGTGACAATTTTGCTGGGTATTTCAACCAGGTTTCCATCCAGATCCTTTAAACAAGTTGTGTTGAGCTAAAAATGTCAGTAGTAACTTTCTGACTCTGCCTAGGAACTCATAGGGAAATTCTGTCTGTGAACTGACATGTGGAGATCCTTAATTCATAGCAGAAAATGTATAAGTGAAAAAAATTACAAACTAATTGTATGAAATAGTAAACCTGAAAGCATTTATATTTCTTTCAATAGTTGCTAGTATTAATCCACACATTTCTTAATCTGTTTTAGATGATGAGATCTCAGGCTCTAGATAAACCACATATGAAGTGATATGAATGTTAGGGCCCAATTCTGCTCCTGTTTGAAGTCAGCAATAAAACTTCTTTTGGCTTTAGGACTAAGAGCTTACAGATGATGAAAAGTGGAACTCAGCAGTGGAATATGGAAAGAATAGTGTTTTGTAGTATTGTGTTACTTTAAAAAAATAAATATTCTGTCATATCTCTCTGGATCTGAATGAAATGAGGGAATTGATCATTTTGGTTATGGTCATCTGTTTGTTCAAAGGATTCTCAAATGAATTCTCCAAAGGATTTCTTGTTATGCCAGTGTAACAGCCAGTTGGTATCAAGTAATGAAAATTTTGCAGAAACATGGAATATAAGCTTTTACAGCCTGATTCTCACAGCTGCAGAGCTACAACTTCTGCAGAGTTATGACTGTAATGAGGAGAAAAAGCATTTACTTCAGGAGACATTTCTCTTCAGTAAAACTTCTGGTATGGTAACACTGATTTTAGTTACTTCTACTGTCCTCTTCTGTGTTTTACTTCTTTCAGTAAAAAACCCTGTTAAAGAAACACTCACAACTGCTAACTCATAGAGAGATGAACCACTTCATTTCCTAATGTAAGCCAAGGTGTCATCTTCTCTCATAAGCAAAAGCATTGATTGCCCTGCCACCAGAGGTGCTGCAGGGTGCCCATACTCCATTTTGGCTGCTTTCCTTCCTGAGGCATACCACCTCATTTTCCTTTGTGTTTTTCATTTAAAAAATTTAGATCTTAATTTAAAAATAAATTTTTAATCAGTTATTAAAAAAAAGATCCTGCTTAGCTGCTGTTCACACAGCCTCTTCTGAATTTAACCTGTATTTATCCCTAAATTTCTGGATTACTTTTAGATGTGTGTTTTGGAAGTGACCATAACAAATGTTTCTGCCGAGTGGCTAATTTTCATTTGAGTTACAATTTCTTTTATGAGCATGTAATGCAGCTTCCACCTTTAAGGCTGGAAACCAACCCAGTGAAAAATTACCTCTTCCCAGTTTAGGATTACACTGAAACACATGCTTGCATTTCCTTAGGGATAAGCCTGTGCTTCATAAAGTTGCATGAATCTGGGCCACAGACCTTACAATAGTATATATTACTATGAAACTCTCCCCAGATTCCCATCCCAGAATACAACTCATTTTTGTAGGACTAGACCTTGCTGTGCCATCTATGGTGGAAAAAAAAAAGAAAGAAAACAATGTGTAGCTAATCAGTTTTAAAAATAAAAGTAATCCAGGAATATGCATGTTGGTGGAACCTCATCCAAGTTGTGGGACACTAAATAAAATAAACACCTGAAGTTTTCTGGCACTGCTTACAACCTAGCAATTTATTTTCATCTTCATGCAATAACTTTTTTTTTTTTTTCTTTTAAGACTGGCACCATGTTGAGTAAATAAAGTGCATATTAAAATAGTGGTGACTAGACAGTTACCAGAGAAATAAGAATAGTTTTGAAAGAAATCATTCTGATCTCTTAATGGAATAAACAATAGTTAATAATTCTCTGAAAACTTATTTTTAAGAAAAAATTAAAACTAAACATGTTTAAACAATATTCAGGTTGTAATAGAGATGAGGAAAAACCAGCAAATGTGAAGTCTAGGCTGACACTTGAAATTATGCTGTGTTATTCCTTAATTGGAATTCCCAACTTATTTTTGTCTATGTCAAAGTCTTAAGGTTATTAAAATTGTGCGTTCCATGCCATATTTCATTTAGATACTGACAGCAGCCCTTCCAGATTGTCTGTTGGAGTCACCAACTGCATCATTCTTACGCCCCTTCCTTGACTGCCAAACACAGGACATGCTGGTACATAGATTACTGAAATGAATGTATACATCTATGATACATCAGGAACTCTAGGTGCTCTAGAAATCTGCTGACAAAGACTAAAAATATTAGATCCACAAGCAACTCCCTGAATGTAGTAGAACCCCCTATGACACTTTCCTACTTCAGGAATTCCTCTCTCAATCCATTTGATGAGAAAGGCTGTTTGAACAGCACAACATTTATTTTCTCCATGTGACTGGGAAGACCTAATAACTGAGAAATTAGCAGTTATTTTTTACAGCAAACAGTACTTACCCTGAGCCTCTGCTGAGTCTCTAGGTGGCCCTCACAGCACTGGCATTTGGCTGCTTTCCTGCCTAGTTGTGTGGTCTCAGCAGAGCGGATGAAGCCGTCCAGGACAGTGCCCATGGTTTCACATGTTTCTCGGGCACTAACACCAGAAGGATTCTTCAATTTAAATGCTGGTTTTTTCCATACTAATAAAGGAAGTCAAACAAGGGATATAACTGCAGCACTCCAAGCAGGTAGAAAACAATGACTTCCTCAACATTTTTTTTTCACAGTCCTTTTCCTTTTTAATGCCTGTGCCTCTTCACAATTTTAGTGTTTTACAGTGGTTTTTTTGCAATTAGTTGTTCATTTCTGGTGCCTTCCTCCACGCTTCCATGGAGAGTGTCCCTCAGAGACTTATTACCTCACCTGTCTTGCTACCACATAGCTCCTTTCAGAAAAACTTGGAGACCATGGTCCTTCTGGAAGGGGGAAGTGTGACACTGATGAGTTTCTTCTGTGCTGGTTGATGTTTTAAGCTGACAGAACAGCCTCAAGAACTCAGATTTGGGAAGCAACAGAAATGGTGGAATAAAGGAGGAAAGTATAAGTAGGAAAGTTATTTCTACCCAATAATTAGGTTTGGGGCAGCCATACGGTTTTGAAGGACCTGATAATCTCCACTTAACTGCACTTCCTGAAGTGCTCTTTTTTTGTATGCACAAACTCTGTGATACTTAATGTCATTTACAAAATTCTGTCCTCCAACAACACCGTTCTGTGTAAAATTAATAAAATTTAGGGATCTGAAAACTTCTCAGTACTGTGATTGCATCTGTATTACTTCAATCAAGAATTCAGTGCAATGTATGAGAGGATGTAGTTTGAAATTATAAGACAGATCTCTTTTAACCTGTACCTAAATATTCTTTTATGTTTGTTGCCTGACTTGTTGCACATCTCTCAGCTTAAGCATCATTGCACTCAGATACATTGGACCCCTTTGGAGGTGCAGTGTGGCAGAGGTTGGGAAGCTGTAAAACAGGCTGCAGGTGTATACAACATATACATTATATACTGGATGTACATTATGTACATTATGTACTGGATGTACAGAGGACAATATATTTCAAGGAGCTGTATAAAGTTTCTGAGTCTGATTAGGGAACAGAAATCTAGACTACATCTGCTGAGACAAAGACTTTAGCCCTCTGGTATTGTAGATAGCTGTATCATGTAAATGAATCCTTGTGTAGTATAAAATTTGTTCTTCCACCGTCGTAAATAAGGAGCAATCTTCCTGTATGTTAGTGAGCTATAAGAAGGGAATGAGAACTAGGGTAATGCACGTGGAGAAAAAAGCTGGAAAAAGATGGAGGACACACAAACAAAATTCTGTTTGGGCTTACTTTCAATCACTCTATTTGAAAGCTTTTATCACTTGGTAATTTGGGAGCAGCTTTCCAACTGGTTCAGGCTTGAATTCTTATGTTTTATAAGTGTGTGTGCACACATTTTTTTCATGGAGCTGAAAATTTAGTGCATACCTGGCTTCTGTTGATATCTGAAATCCACAACTGTGCTTTATTTCCTCACCTTCCTTCCTACAGGATGGTCCGCACGCTGTATGCCATCGGTGCCCTGTTTCTTCTGATGGGGTTCCTGCTGCCAGCGGCCGAAGGGAGAAAGCGGAATCGTGGATCTCAGGGTGCTATCCCTCCTCCTGTCAAGGATCAGCCCAATGATTCGGAGCAGATGCAGACACAGCAGCAGTCAGGCTCCAGGCACCGAGAGCGAGGAAAGGGCACCTCGATGCCTGCTGAGGAGGTGCTGGAGTCCAGCCAGGAGGCGCTGCACATCACTGAGCGCAAGTACCTGAAGCGGGACTGGTGCAAAACCCAGCCCCTCAAACAAACTATCCACGAGGAAGGCTGCAACAGCCGCACCATCATCAACAGGTTCTGCTACGGCCAGTGCAATTCCTTCTACATCCCCCGGCACGTCCGTAAAGAAGAAGGCTCCTTCCAGTCTTGTTCCTTCTGCAAGCCCAAGAAATTCACCACTATGACTGTTACACTCAATTGCCCCGAGCTTCAGCCCCCAAGAAAGAAAAAAAGAATCACCCGAGTTAAGGAGTGCCGGTGTATATCTATTGACTTGGACTAAATGGAGAAAAAGTAGCAATTGCACTCTGACTGTACGCAATCACTGCCATTGTGAGAGTGAGTGGCGTGAACTAGCCTACCTTCAAGGCTGGCCAAAACTGAAAGGGACCTAGTGAATTACCTAAAACAAGCAAAACCCCCCAAAAAGAAAGAAAAAATTCATGTAAGGAAAGGGCATGCATGTGTGTGTGTGTAGGGGAGAAAATGGATATGGATGAGCAAATGCATGAATGTTCACTACAAAAAAAAACAAACAAAAACCAACCAACCAAAAACAGCGTATGAGACATGAAAAAAAACCCTAATTACCCATAGTCATGAATTAGGTTTCCTAATTCATGTGTATATTCACAATTTTGCCGCTTGCTGGGAAAGTGGAGCTGTGGCTTTTGCAAATGTTCACCTTTGTGCTATTTTTTTTACTGTATTACGTGAAACATCAAAGCAAGAGGACAGTATATTTCAAAGCACAAATCTATTCTTATATAAAAAATAGACAAAGAGCAATTTAAAGTCTAGCACAGCCATCACTGAAAATAGAAGCTGTGTTGAGAGTTTGTACCACGCTTCTTCAAAACATAGCTGCAATCCAAAATCCATGTCTGGAGAACAATGGGGGGATGTGGGAGTGCTGAAAAGTCAATATAGGTGGATGGGAAACAGATCTACAGCAACTTAGAAAGCAAAAGGTCAAAGCAAGTAGAAAGGGAGAGTACAAAAGGGAGTAGAAAAAGGAAAGGTACATAAATAGGAAAACACAGAGGAAGATATATTGTCTTCTGTTTACGTTTTGCTTTAATTTATATACCTAGTCATATATTACATAAATTAAAAAGAAACTATATACCAGGCTATAAATATACTTCTGAATTCTGATGGCTCTCCAAACCAAACAGAACCCATTCTTATGCCACTAGATCCATTTGATGTCTTTTATTTCTGATATCAGTTATTCTTCATATCTACATATGTATGTATATGCAGTATCTCTTAGGCAGTGGTATCTATACATACATGCAATGAGTGTGCCTACTTCATTGTGTGTATCCAAACTCTTCTTTTTCACACACATACATAACCACAGCACAAAAATCTTGCTAACCAAGATCAAGTACAGAATGGCAGTAATTTAGTACATAAAGAGCAGAGCAAAAATTAAAACAAGCATCATGTGACTGAAAATGCAATAACCACACAAGAGACAAAAGACACGACATTCATGACTAGTAAACATTGCATTGTTATTGTTATTTTAGCTTTGCCACAGGCATGCAGTTTGTTGAAACAGAGATGCAGAACTTTGCCAGCAATGATCCTCTTTTTATATCTTTTACCACAGACTTGCATTTAAACTGGATTTGGAGTAAGTAAAGAGAATTAGGGCTGACTGCCCCTCTCATCTGGGGGGAAAAACATAAAAGGGGACACCCTACTTCCAACAGTTCGATGACTCTCACCTGTGAGGTTATCTTGTCTTTTCTTTCGTTCAGGCTTAGGAGTTTAAAATTGATCAGGGCTGTAAAGTTTGGCAAGAGCACAGAAGTTCCTACAAAAAAGTTATTTTAATGAGGTGTGTGCTGGGGATTGGACCAGAGAGGCAGCCCATCCATGCATGTTGTCCTTGCTATCCTGAGCACTCGAAGGCCCACACTTACTGTGTGATGGGTCTTGGAGGGTCCAGGACTCAGTTTCCCCACTCAGCAGCAATATTCTGTTGGATTCACTATCAGTATAACTCTGCTCTCTCCCACCAGATGCCTCTCTCAGCCACAAGGTGATTATTTTGACATGATTTCTTGCCATAGAATATTAAGGAGGACAATCTGCCCAGAGGGAAAGATATATGATGAGTGGCATGTCACAGGTGCATTCTATGTGGCCTCGTTTTATCAATTTTCCCACCTGTTATGTAATGCATCATACATTTATTGGTGATATCCTGCATCTCTACAGCTCGTCTATCTTTGTTCTAAAATCCACTGCTGTGAGGTTTGTGTTTGTAAAATTAAACGATTACAACCCATTTATTGGTATTATTAAAATGCATTTCATTTGGTATACTCTCACTCAGCAGTTTGACATGTTTTCATGGATTTTAAAATCCAGTTTTAAAATCTGGAATTATAGGAGGTAGGTTTCCACTGTGTGGAATGTGAATAGTTAAACAGAAAGATAAGGATATTTAATGTTATTATTAATACAAATTCTCTTTCACTGATAATAGGCAGGGAATATTTTCATTTAAATTTCTTTTTTTATTTTTTTTTCCCCAGGGGAAAGGGCCAACCTCAGTCATTGCTGGAAATTTTGTACTAGCTTGGGTTTTTGTTCAAGAAATGGGAACACCTTATGAATCATTTTTTTCTTCATGTAAAATTGACAGCAAAATTCACATTTTCTTTGACAGAGACTGCTATGTCCCTAACCCCTTAGCTGTTAAGCATAGCTTCAGAAACTCCTTTAAGTTTTGTCTAGAATTCTCAAGGAAAATTGATAAAAGTATTCCAAATCTTTATGTTCTAAAACTGCCTGTGCATAGATCATGATGGAACTCCCTTTGAGGCAGATCCCCCTCACCCATATGAATTGCTAGTTATTGCCTGAGAGTAAGAAAGTTCTGCTAACTTACAATTATATGAGATATTTAATATCAACCACAATATGTATTTAAATGTCTGCTTTATTCTAAAAACAATGGACTATATAACCTAAGGCTGCAGTATTTTCATGCTCGGTCTCACAAAGCAAAACTTGGTTTAAAATGAAGTTTTAATTATTTTGTAACTGAATAGAATTGGAGTTTTTTTTCTTCCCAGCATTTTATACGTCATTTTAACTACTAGTAACAAATAAATAAAATATCTTCTCCAGCCTGTGTCTATTGTTGTTTGTTTTTTGGTTTTTTGTGGTTTTTCTGGTTTGGTTTTTCCCCCCTTCCTCAAGTTTCCAGCTCTTTCTGGATCTGTTGTACTTTATCCTGACTTCTGTGGTTTCTTCTAATTATAAAAGGCTTTACATTATGACAATAAGACATACAGACAAGCAATGGCACCATCATTCAACACGGCTACTTCAATAAGGCTTTTAAATGAGATCTGTCACTTGCCCCTCACCCTTCCACAATTTATAGAAGGAAAATCTCAATCTTTGCTCACACTTTTCCCCTTGTAAACCATAGAGTGACAGTTGAAAATATAAATCAGCTTTGAATTGTTGTAGAGTTAAAGTTGGAGTTGGCCTGCCTGCCTTATGCCTTATCTCAGTTTAGTGTTTAGCTGGCAGTTTAGTCCCACTTCTAGAAAAAAAGAGTAAGGAACACCTTTACAATACAGCATATTACAAGCTGCAAATAGGGACAGAGGAGATGCAAAAGAATTATAAAAGAAGAACAGGAAGATTTGTCACTGCTGGCAGCACATGTGCAAGGCCAGGGTTGAGGAAGGACTGCAGCCAGGGAGAACATATTTCTTCGAACTTTCCACCCTTTTGGTTAAGTCTTCCTTCACATCTAGCTTTGTCATGCTTCTAAAACTTGCTCAAAAGATAATAAAATCAGCTAAGAATCATTTTTTTTTTGGAAGGTAATTGACTTTTTCTGGTCTGAGGTATGGGCACAGTTGAGCAGAATGTTTCCTTGAGAAGTTGTGCATATCTATCTTTATTTAAATATTTAAACCAGAGAAAAACCTCCTGGACTTAGCTTTCTAGTACTCCATGGCACTGGTCTTACTAATTATATAGTAACATGTAATTTAATTATAGTTTATATTTGTCCTACATACCAGCTTTGAATTGAAGATAACCTCCCATGTGCTTTATAGTTAGTTACACAGACCAAAAGAAAGCAAGAGAGAGAGAATTCACACACCTTACTCTGCTGTCAGGGATGCAGACAGAAATGAGACCTCCTTTTCTCTGTGCCCAGTGGGCTGGGCTGGGTGTGTGTGGGGTTTCTGGTGTGCTCTGGTAGCCATGTGCTGCTGGGAGCTCGCAGGGTGTGTGATTCCGAGGCACCGAGAGCGGAGCGCTGGCCCTGCCGAGCGCGCTCCCATCTGAGCCACAGATGTGCACCGTGGGCACCGTGCCTCTGCTCCACCAGCCTGGCAACAGGCACCTGGACCTTGCGAAAATGATGCGGTAACTTCACCTTGTTATTTACCTTCTCCTGAGTGAAAAAAACCCCAAACCAAACAGAAACCCACTGCCAAAACAGAAAAAACCCAACCCAAACAAAAAAAGCTGAAAGGAGAATTAGAACTGCACCCTTGGGGCTGATGTTCCTTTTCCACCGTAGATGTAAACCTACAGGTTTTAGTTCCAAAAGGTTTCCTGAAGGAGAACAACCAAGTGAAAAATACCTAGGTCTTATTCATTCCAAATAACTCAAACCTGTCCCAAAAAACACTTCATTAGTTACTGAAATACAGCAGTCAATTTTGGCAGAAGAACACCCAAATTTTTTTCTGAGCTGTCCTGCTTACCTGGATGGTTGCAATCCACTAACCAAAGGGGAGAGCTGCATCATTTAAATGTTAAGGGAGTGAAAATTTAACATGTATTTGTATTTAGCCAAAACAGTGGTTCATATTTTTAATAACCATCAGATTTATTTTTTTTATCATCTGAGACTGAAAGCAGAAATTCCCAGCAATGCACAAGTATCACAAAGAGTCCCAGTGCAGATTTTTGATGCTACCTTGTAATGCATCTACATAAAAACATCTGAAGCCTATGTGCACTGCCTGCCTGGGAATGTAGCTGATGACTTTAAAGTGCCTTGTCTCAATGTGTGGCTTCTGGCTGCTTGAATTCTTCCTCAAGCTTTCATGGGTCTGGGTGGAGGAGTAAAGAAATTTTAACTGTCACTGGCTCACTTTTCTATTATTTTCTAAAAGTTTTGAAAATGAAATTCAGAATCCACTTTTTTTTTTTGAAAAATCAAGGAGCAAGATATGAGAAAGTCTATACTGATATAAAAAAAGGTTCTTTGAGATTGCATTA